GGTAGCGACTTCGTTACTGATTGATATCTTCATCGTCGTTTCCTCGATCTTACTCAGCCGTTACGTTCCCGGCTACCAAAAGGCGATGAGGAGGTTCTGGCCACGGACTTTACGCAGTCTGCTTGTCTTTTAATTTCCCGAGCAAGTCCGTGCCCGTGGAATATTCGATGATGGAAATATCATGAGGGGCAGATGGCTAATTCCCTGGGGTTCTCGGTACTTTCTCCATTTGTTTTTCAATGCATTATTTTTCAGTATTTTTGTTTTAGAGTCAACCTTGCGTCGATTGGCCATTCGATACGTTTGCTGGCACCGGACTTTATGGTGTACGTGACATTCGTGATCACACTGACAGTGTGCGAGGCCTATAATCGTTCATTTGCGTCTACGGACCAGGTGGTCGATGTTGAATGCTCACCGTATGAACGTCAGAAACCCTCGGCAGGCGGCGTCTCTGTGCTGAGGGCAATCTTCAGCTACAGGTCATTCCGAAACGCAGTGAATGCCGTATCAGAAGTTCTTGTGGTCGTACTGTTGTGCCTGGTGTCCGTCGCCTGGCCATCGTTGCTGTCATCGTTCTATTTCGTGGTGTTCCTTGGGTTCATGACCGTTTGGGCGTTCTGCCTCACCAGGTCATGCCACTGTGTTCGTGTGATGAAGACTATGCTCATCTCGTACCTGGCCGTCCATCTCATTACTTTGTACCTGTATCAGATGTGGCCGTTTCAAAACGACGTAGAACCCAGCACGTTAGCGGCAAGGTGGCAAAATTATCTTCTCCGTTTTTTTATTAATTAATACCATGTATACTTGTTGATTCGCATACAAAGGTTTGTCGATCATATTGTAAGTTAGGTAGCATCGTAATAATAACGTATGAACCCATCTGTTTATGCAACATCAGAATCATAGTGAAGCACAAGCACACTAAATGTTCCAACATTCCCATATGATAAAGTGTATGAGGATGGCAGTGTATCTATACATTTAAAAGCGATGCCAGGGTACAGCGGAAGAGCCTGAAGGAGTATGAACATTATAGACGCGATTGTAAATGAACGAATGCCCACGTAAAAGATCGGAAGCGAATTTTGTAACTATTGGAAAGTCGCTTTACTTATACATTACTGTTCAGTTATGGCACCAGTGTTTTCATGAAGTTAATGATAGGGGCGCAGATTTTGGTTTCCTTTCGTTTCTTTTAAAAGCAGAATTTTTGGCAACTACGTGACAACATAGTCCGTATTCTCCTGCTTCCTTTCCACTCATTATAGTGATACTTGTTTATCAACCTCGGAAGAAAAAGGCCAGTGAGTCTGACCGAGACTAGAACCGTGGATTTCCCAATTCTGAGACTGGTGCTCTGTCGACCAAGTAACCTCGGTTTGAAGCACATGTGGTAAGTTACTTGCTTAAGGAAATTCATGATAACGACAAAGATTATCGACCGCTACAATCAAACTCGCACTTCCGTTGTTCGAGTTTGATGCTGACGTCTTATTTACTGTTTTCACGCCTCAGTGCTTGTTAAGAAGTTATATAGATAATTGATTCTTTCACAGGAGTCCGTTAGTCTACTAAGAAAGTTGACATAGAGTATATTGCATAATTGAAATCATGACATAATTTGTCCTGTCTTCCCTGTAAACTGTAAGTCTCTCGAAGAGAAGAAAACTGTAATTATTGACCAAGGAATTAATTAGAACTTCTACCGTCACCCCCATAGAAAGGACATTGAAATGTGTCTTCTGAGTCTTAAGTAATATAAACATTTTCGGTCAGCAGCATTTTATAGATACATGGGTAGCATGAACTTAGCCAACTAAACTATTTCACGGAACATCCGTATTTCATCCACGAACATATCAATTCGGCTCAAAATTGAGGAAATGTTCTACAGTGTTGGAAATTAGATAAACTGTGGCGACCGTCCTCTAGGTTTTTGCCCAGACAGACAAATATGTAAATAATGTTTTCTTAATCCTCTTATCTGTCAGATTCTGCTAATAGAATGAAGGGAAAACCTTAAGTCATGGTCTCATATAAACTTCTGACTAATAGAAAGCGAGAGCTGAACCAGCAGTTGTTTTGTATGTAAAAAATGTGGCTTAGAAGAACAGTTGGAATAAACTGGACTAAGTATTTCAACTGTTACTGGAGTCTTGACTTTTTGGAGATGTCATTAATTACGCTATTAAAGGAAAGAAAGAAAATTTATATTCGTTGTGATCCTCCATCCCGTTAATTGTGGCACAAATCACAGTTGGTTTTCAACAGAGCATGTAGTTCCTGCCTCCTTTCTACGAAATAGTACTCATTCATTTTCCGAGAAATTATAAGAGGCGAAATACCTGATCGATGATCAAGCTCACAAAATCCTAAGACCTTCAGGTTGGCAGATGCTCTACCCTCTGAGTTATTCGGAGCTCATTTTGGAGCAAGCATGTCGTTTTACAACTTGTAATTAGTTTTTCTAAGTGAAAAGCTTATTTACAAGTCAAATTTAGGTTGGTGGGTTTGACGCCGATTTTGGAGACGAACTGCAGTAGCGTGTGGGCAGTGCATTTCGTGAAGCAAGACCCTGCCGTGTATGGAAATGCCGTTTTGCTGTTCGTATTCTACATGTATCTGGCATTCCAAATTCGATACCTGGATAAAGTAGGCAACGGTTTGTTCGTATCGATGAAAATTGATCTTCTCAATCACGGCTCTACAGTCATTGGCCAATAACTTGTGCTTAACTTTGAAACCAGAACAGATTCGTTGCGGCAATCTCCTGTCAGATAGTACCTCTAAAAAATTTCATTTCTTACCTGGTCCACTCTGCATCATCCAGAGACTGGTGAATGGTCTATCTATATGTGTATGCAAGGTATGAGATCCAGTTCGGGTAGGGTTCCTATTGGTTTCCAAGGCCTGATCTTTTGACTGAGACTGGGCCTTCCATACTATGTTCAAGCATTGTCGTATTTGTGCCTTATAAGTATGCGTTAAAGTTTTCAGTAGCTAACGCGCTGAGCTTCGTTTATGCATACCTGCAAAATATAATGCATTAATTAAACTGAGTGCAGACGATGTTTTTATACTTTTTTTAAAAAGATTATTGTACACATATTGGCGCTTTATTATTTTTTGACAACTTTCGTTTGTAATACCACTGATTCATGCATCGTTTAGATGCGCGTAGGTGACTCGGTTCCGGACGACTTGGTGAATTCCGGCCAAAATGGAGAAGTTTTCGAATCGGTGTCATCCATACATGAAGACGTAATCATAATTTTGATTAATTGATTTGTTCCTGATATCGGATCCTTTGCGGGCTGTGCCTTTACTTGGTTATTGGTTAAAATTGTACTGCTTTCATATGCCGAAGTCAGTTTTAAGGCACGAGGGTGTCCAGTTCCAAATTGTGGTGCATTTGCGGTTGATCGCAAGTTCACGATTTTTGCATTATATATTTGTATATGTTATTGAATTTTTCCTGTTTGTTACTATTTCTATTATTTATTTCCACGTTGTTTTGACCGACAGTTTTATTTAGCTTTTGCGGTTTGCTGATGCAGAAGTTTGCGGCAATATCGAGACGACCACCGCCGCCACCGAAAGAAACAAGGCTGACGTTGCTGCAGGCTCCTCTGATACGAAGACGCGCAAACAGAGTGACCTATTTTCACACTGTCCCCTGCTGGTGGACGTGTATGCGCTTCTGCTTCGTCACGCGTACGTTGGATCCCTATTGGTGATGATGGCCTGGGCGATTACCTACCACAGCTGGTTATCGTTTGTGTGGCTACTTCTCGCCTGTGTCATTTGGATGTGTTCGAACAGCAGACGAACGTTCTTCTTCCTGTCACCGTTCATCGTCTTTTACGCAGAGGTACGATCACCCATTGATAGCCAGACATTCAACGTTTCTTAAACAGAAAGTTTTGAAACAGTTCTATCGTCATCCTGGTCCTATTCCTCACCATCTCAATTTGTTTTGTTTTGGTGTAATCTGTAAATTCATCCACATAAATGTTGATTGCGTACAATTCACGATGTTTAGTCAGGTTAATCCTTGCTATCTCGTTACTTTATAGGTCAGTAAAACCACAACAAATTCCCTGTACAGAGCTCATAAAAAAGAAATGTTTACTGTGCAATACGGTCTTAAATTGGGCAGCAGTAGCGTGCGAAACTAAATTACGGTCAAAGTCAGAAAGCAGACATGTGTTCGCGTTTGTGATTAGTCGAATCAGGCAATTGTCAAATCGTCCAAGAAACGCAAAACTTCATGCAGCGAAACCCGAGCAAATCATCTATAGCTGAGGCGGTTATGGTGAGAGTAGTGCTGATCAGCTAAGACAGGCTATACCGTTTATCGTCTAATATTAAAATGACTAGTTTTTCCTATACCACTACAATAAACATTGGTGTAAGATTTTCGAGAAGACGTTCGATTGAAGCGAAAGCATGTTGAAGTGAGAAAAGGATATTACGCCAGTGATAACAATGGAGAAAGCAGGAAGCCATCTAAATCTGCATTCATTGATGAGGCACTGTCGATTCTTTTCGACGAAGAACGACCTGACTGCGATGGTTGCATCATGACTGCTTTGACCTCAAGTCTTGTGGCGACTAGCACGGTCCGTCATATTGTAGGAGAAGGTTTCTGAAGTCGTGATTTCACCCGCAGTGATGGGTTGCAGCAAAACTTTCTGAATTAGAACGGCATTCGTATTGCTGAACATGCTTAACTGTAAATGGCTTTTGAGTTCGTTCGAAAGATTTTGACAGAATCGATCGAAAGTTTGCGCTGTAGCACACGGTGAACCACATAGCGGAAATTGCCTTTCATGGGTATTTTTCAACCTTTAGGCTGGGGTTTGCTCAGTCGGTAGTGCATCAGACGAGAGGTCCAGGGTTCGAGCCATCGTTGGGTAATTTGCTTTTGTTTCTTTCGAGGTCTGCAAATGAACAGCACTCTGTGAAAATGAAACAAAACTACACAAGCATAGTGGCTTGCCACATGACTTCTGTCGACTTTGCCATTAAAATAATAAGGTTCTCCTGGCTGATGGTCTGGAAATGGATATCAGCGCGTCAGAAAAAACGAGCACGCAAAATATCCCCATCATGAAAGTGTAAGGAAGACCGACATTCCAAGGTTTACAACGTTTTTTTTTTTAAATATCCTCATTTTGACCTACTGTGCCCCAACAATTCATCACGGTGGGTGTCGTAACCGGCAGTTTGCTTCAGACCACCTTATCATTAGGGGATCTTTGTAGTAGCCATTGCTGAACGACACTTTTTGCCGTGTGAGAAACTTTTATGATTTTGTTTGTGCAAAAATAAATGTTTCTTTTTGTTAGCATTTCATTTTTAGGCACTTCTGATCCTACAGTTCATATACGGCTTGAACCTGACTGCTGCCGAATTGCCTGACGACCTTCCGGGCTTTCCGCTTCAGCAGATTGGTTTAATTAAACCTGTTGGACCGGCTTGGGTGCCACTGTTTATTAAGGTAGCTTTCACTAATGCATGCTTTAACTAAAATGCCGTTATAAACAGTGCACCTCCTTTTCCGCAGTAACGTTTTTTTATAGTTATAAATAGCATAATATAGGTTCTGTTTGTAATAAGGCACAAAGTAAAAATATAGCGAAAATTTTCATATCTCCGTGTTTATCGGTTTTTTTCTACGCCCAGTAGTTGGTTTTAACTACTAAATAAATACCCTTCATGGGAATGATATAGACTTAAAGTCAGTCTTTTAAGTCATTTAAATCTTTGGACTGATCGATATAATTATTTGACATTGCATTACACTGTGATTATGCGATACTGGTATAAATATGATCCGTATTTTGTTTTGATTTATATGTTTATGATCTAGACATGTTGTCCTACTTACGACATATTCTCCTTTGCATAAGATTTTGACATGCTTTAAAGACGTTAGCTGACGACCACAGGTGAGGTGATGAAGATTCTACGACAGTCCGAACAGAGAAGGGCTTATTATGTATATCATATTTGAAGTTCAAAAAACTACCTTTACATCCTGTCCTAAACATGGATATTCGCAGAAATATTTGGAATTGCCTGGTAAAAAATGAAGACGTAATTTTAACCCCGAAGTGCAAGCATCCTGTTCGGTTTTCACGGTAATTTTCGAAACGGAACACCACGGTTTGAGGCGATCACCTTCTCGTTTCGTATGTTCTCATCTCGTAAATTCCCATATTTAAAAGCGCTTTGCCCTTTTCATATTCCAGAATGAAACGTTTTCTCGAATTTCTATCTTTTAGGTACTCTATTCTTGTTTGTTCTGGGCTTCTATGCGGTTCTTCTGCTACGAGCGAAAATCACTTTCTTCCGGCGGCGTATCGCTTCCCGGTGGCATCACCATCTACGGCACGTTCGCCAATTACGAGTCGCAGTCAAGCTGGCTCGAACGGTTCATGGCTAAGTACTGGATCTACGTCGTCGGCTTAGTGCTGCTGCTGATTTCTTTGCGACAACCGGTCTTTCTCTATAACATCGGCTACATGGTGTTTTTTGTCACACTCCTTACGGTGCTTCAGGTAGGCTCTCCTCCCATCTAACTGTTTTTAGGTGTTATTTTCTAGGTATCATTTGCTTTGTGTCGGCGTCTACTCTTTTTCTACTGGATGGTTTTGTCGGCATACAGTATCGTGATTCTATGGTTGGTGTATACCTATCAGTTTCATGGAGTGCCCGAAATGTGGCGCAATTGGACATACTGGTCAGATGACGTGTAAGATCCGCTGATTGTTCATCATTTCTTAGTTATTACTCGCCTTACTTTGTCTACATACCCTTCGTTGAATTTTCGTTCCACCACCGAAATCCAACATGCCAAACTTTTACCAGGAATCAATCTGCGATTTGGCCACTGCTTTCGCTGCCGCCATGCGCCCTGATATAATTTAAGTTGGAAAGATTCTGTTTATTGTTTTATGATTTTCTCAGTCCTTTTAATCGATAACCAAAAGGAGGAAATATTTCAGTGTTTTATTTCTCGTATTATTTGTTTGCACTACTATCCGGTTAGTTATGAAATGTGATTTAATATATAAGTTAATTTTGAAAAAATCGACGTTTGAGCTGTTATGTTTGTTGTTTGACATAAACGCGCTTACATGCTTACCTAAACGCCATTGTTGCATTAGAGAATAACTTTTAGGAATCTTTTTGGTTTTTTTTACGTTTTAGTCTTCATCTTCATCTTCATCTTCCATCGCCGCTTCTCCTTTCGGGTCGCGGAGGCAGACGCGTCAGA